TACCATCCCTGCTACAACAATACAGGTAACACTTACTGTAGAATACTTTATTTTCGCTTGGAATTTATTTTCGCTATTTTCGCTGAAGGAATGATTCCGTGAAAATAAAATCCAGTGAATATACTATTTTTTCTTATATTTCACATTAAACTCATTAAAAATCAGTGAAAATAAATTCCAAGCAAAACGCCCAAAAAGGCTTTTCAGCGAAAATTAATTCCAGCGAAAATAAAGTATTCCACAGTATACACTTATACGCATCAACCATGTTTTTTATTTTTGTCTATATTATCTGGAGCTCTGAGATCAGTAATTGAATTCTTAAAAAAATAATCTGACTGGCTATAAATTGAATTACATGAAACACACTAAACCCGTTAATTATTTGATGATACATTTATACATGTAACAAACAAGTTATTGTTTTTACAGAGTAAAACCACTTCATTATTTATCTTGGTTGATTGGTCATGAAGGGACTGGTAGCATTCTGTCATTGTTGAAACAAAAGTGAGTGGGAATTTTTATTTGTTAATGTACCTGTATCCGACGATGTTATGCGGTTATTATGAGAATACTGCAAAATATGCACGAAGGCAGTACGGTGAACGTATCAATCGACATGTAGCAGAGGTTGATGTGTTCCTGTACTGCTTTCATGTATATTTTGCGGTATTTTTGTGATAACCTTATTATTATTGTACATCAAATCCCAGCTTGTAGTAATAATTTAATATCAGATAACCGCCAGAAATAGCAATAATAATAAAATAAAATATTTGAAAGTGACATAAACATGATTTGAATGTGATGTTAACATGATTTGAATGTGACATAAACGTGATTTGAATGTGATGTAAACATGTGACTTAAACATGATTTGAAATTGACGTTAACGAGATATGAATGTGACATAAACATGATTTGAATGTGATGTAAACATGATTTGAACGTAAACATTATTTGTATGTGATATAATATAAATTTGAATATGACATAAACATGATTTGAATGTTACCTACCGGTAAACAT